GAAGGACTTCAACTTCTTTCTTCTTCCCTCGTTTTGGCATTGCAGGGCTGCAAGTGACTCTCAGATGAAGGATCTGGCTGCCTTGCTTTGCAAATGTTAGGCTTCTCAACAGTAGTGCCTCCTGGAAAAGATGAATCATCGCCATGTATGCCCATACTTACAACCAAACAGGCTTTCTTTTTGCCCCAGAATATCCTTACTAACTTCTCCTCCTCCTCCAAAGACATCTAGAACAGCACCACCCTGTTCCTCTCTTCCATCAGCAACCCACCTTCTTGACCCCATGGAAGTGACTTTTTGGTCACCTATTATATCCATTTGCAAAAAAATATCTTCCAAACTAAAGCTTCTATTCTTCCTCCTCCAAAGACATCTAGAACAGCACCACCCTGTTCCTCTCTTCCATCAGCAACCCACCTTCTTGACCCCATGGAAGTGACTTTTTGGTCACCTATTATATCCATTTGCAAAAAAATATCTTCCAAACTAAAGCTTCTATTCTCAGAAGAATAAATTGGGTTATATAAGGCTACAGCAGTTTAACTGGCTGATGTTTCTTTTGGCTAACAGCAACTCTCCAGAGTCCCTGATGAGAACAGAAGGCAGGAGCCAATCATAACCTTGATACTGAAGATGCCAGGAACTGCATCTCTGACCCGCACATGTAACACTTTCCTCAAAGCAAATGATGTGATAAAGTCTGTCCCCCAAACTCCAACTCCTTTGTAGGAGAAACAGTGGATGAGGGACAGCCTGATCCAGCCACTTTATTTTCAAACAGGATCAAAGTATCCCAGCTGATCCAAAGTCGAACAAAAGCCAACCATGTACAGTAATTCAGCTACTAAAAATAAAACTAAGGCTGTTTTATCCTGCAGAACTAGAAGCACAGCGAGACAAAGTTTCCAATCATTTTGTACTGATGGGGACATTTATAATTTCCAGTATATTGTGAGCAACCTCCAGCTAGGGGCAAGGCCTGAGTATTCAGAAAATTGTTCTCTAGATACTTCTAGATCCCTTTAAAACGTGGTGCCAGGCTGCAGCATTCTGCTGTTTTTTATTTTCTAGGAATGCCTCTGAGTCCCAACAATACAAATGAAGTTAGAGGCTGGCTCTTTTCGTTGCAACATGCCTGAAAATAAAGATGATGCTGGAGGCTGTTGCTCTGTAACACACCGGCTTCTCTATTGTTGTTATTCCAGTTCATGAGTTATCACACACTTTAATCATGATACTGCAGGATCTACTGTTTACATATGAACTTCCAAACATAAAATAAAGGAACTGTATTTCTCACTACAACATTATCATAGCCCTGTCAAAGGGCTATAAATTATATTGCAGAAGATCTCCACTAGCCACTTTTTTTTCTCATGTTGGTTCTTTATCAAAAAAATCTGGTTCTCATTTTTTCTCTGTACCACAAGCTCATTTCTTAGGGCTATAAATTCTTTGAAAGGTCGGCTTTAAAAAGCAACTTACTAATTTCCATTTATTTATTGCATTTATATAGCTTCTTCTCTGAGGTTTTAAGACAACTTTATACACAGCCTCTCCCTTTTGGTATTATTTTATCAAAATAGTGAAATAAAAGAATAGAGTCTATACTCAATAGTGATTATGCAGGGAAGGAAAAAATCCCTACATATGTGATAGTGATTAAATAATCTAAACATTTAAAAATCCCTAATTAACACGAAGCAAAAATATATTATCAATATAAATGCCTATATGGAATTAATTCACTCATTAAGCTTATTAAATCTAGACTGTATAGCAATGTACCATATCATCTTCTCAATGTTAGGTCACAAAGAGTTTTCAGAAATTAATAACAAACTCATATCCCAGTTCCACTCCCAGGAGCCTGACTTTCCAGTTTCATAGGATTATCCTCTTTGCTATAGCTCTTCATCAGGTGACAAATTCCTTGTTTGTGGAATATAATTCAACCACACAGGAGGATCCCTAAATATATTTTTCCCAAAGTTATATTTATATGTTGATTTAAAACCAAATCAAATATGGAAAAAGACCAAACCCTATGAATTAAGGAACCTTCCATTTTTTAAATTGCCAAGAGAAGAAATCCAATGCCCATCTGGAATGTTTTGAAACATTCCAAAATAATATTATCTGATAATTTCATTTTTCAATCATAGGAGGCGTGTTTTACATTTTTTAAAAGTGGCCTCTTCTAATTTTATCCCCAATGGTTTCGGCAGCATCAAAAGCAATGCACCCATACAGTACCAGTGGCTGGGGAACATGGGTAGAGAGGATCGCTTTGCATTCATAACTTGCTCAGAGGCACCTCTTTGGTCCCTCTGGAAAGTGGATACGGCCTCCTCTTAAAGCTACCCCTGCTGAATTTCTACCTGCCACCCACCTCTAAAAGGCACGGGAGGACTTAAAAAAAAAAAGGAAATGCAAAAATGGAAGGCCAGACGTCGACCCTGCCCCTTTGCACATTAAATGCAATTAGGAAAGCCCTATTAAATAATAATTTCATTTTAAACCATGTCTGCTCTCACCACGCCGGCCGCTGAGCTTCCCTTTGGACAACGAAGGAGCTTGGAGAATCCGCAGGAATCGCTGAATGGAGAGAAAGAGAAGCACGTGGAGTGAAGATGCGTCACGTGACAGAGGCTGAGGGGGCAGGAGGCGGGGCTTCCTGTTAAAGCCAGAGGAAAGACCGCGCCAGAGACGGACTGAGGAAAGGCTCGGTTGATTCGGCAAGGAAGAGGTTAAAAGAATACTTGGAAAGAAAGCGTCCCCATCGGCAGTCACGTGCTGAGGGAGGAGGCGGGGTTTGGGACGGGTGACGTCAGGCGTTCTCTCCCTCCAGGAACACCTTTAGGGTTGTCTGAAACCCCCGAATCATCAACACCTTCGGTTCCCAGTTGAACAACGAAGAGGGGATCAAGGCAAAGAAAAAGAGCCTGAAGCATAGGGGAGCGGAAGGGAACATGCGGTCTCATTTCTAAAACAAAATCTTACATACAGGGAAATATTTAATAAGTCTTTTTTTAAGAAAAATTCTGGGGTTGGAATATATACCTTCTAACCCTCACGTGGAGGCTGTCGAATTTAAACCGCTCGTGTCTGCTGTGCAGAGCGTGAGGTTTTTTTCCCCATCTCGTAGATCGTTAAGAAGAGGGGAGGGGGAGGACTCGATGCGATTTAACCCTTTCCTTGCTGCTGGGTTAGCCTTCCGAGACATTTTTTGTTGCCCGCGTGTTTTCCCCTCTCCTGCTGCGCTGAGCTTTCCGAAGTACCGCACGTGGGGAAGGCGGACCTAAAAGCAGAGGAAAGAGCCCGAGGTAAGACATAAGCTACTCCTTCTCCCGAATCGCCAGCCCTTGTTAGTTAAGCTGTGCCCGGCTGTGCCAAGGAAATCGTGCCTGGAGAGCAGCGGGACGCGCAGGCGGGATCCTGGATGGCCGCAGTTTCCGAGGTCCGCAAAATCTCCTCCCCGAGCGCTTCCAGGGTTTGTTAAAAGTAGCAGCAATCACGGCTGCCGTTCTGCCCCGCGACGCACTCAAACTGGCAAAAGCGAAGTGTTTCTCAGTCTTGGCCACTTTCAGATGCATGGACTTCAACTCCCAGAATCCCCACATGGCCAAGGTTGAGAAACACTGGGGTAGAGACCTATTTTACAGAGTTGATCTTGATGGAGGAAGATAGGAAGATGTCCCCTTGCGCTCCTGAAGTGGGAGTAACGAACAAATACATAACAGAACCATGATTTGCTCAGAATTTATCCTTAGCCTCCTCTGTTAACCCCTAGTTTTGAGATCTGGGATTCTTTGACATCCTGAATTCACACATTCACTCTACTTTCTGTAACCCGGCAGTGGGTCAGATGGTTGACTTTTTCTCTTCTGGCTAGGACTTGGATGGGAGACCACTAGGAAATCTCAAGGGGCATGGAAGAAGGCAACAGGCAAATCGCTTCCATATGATTGCCAAGGAAATTGCAGGAATGCAGCAGAGTCCCTCTGTCTGTCAAAATCTGCTGGATCAGTTGCAGCTTTGCAATCAAAGTCCAACACCTTTTGTAAGGTGTGTGACACTGTGTCTGCCATTTTGCAGATTTTGACTCCTCCACCTTTGCAAATGCCCGTGCGGGGATGTGTCTATATAGTCACCTGAAGCTGAGCTCAATTTTAAGGAGACCGTATCTTTAGGATCCGGTTGTCTTGGCTCCCTAGCTTGTAACCTAGTGAACAAAATCTCTGAGCTTCCGTGTTTTGCTCAGTGCCCATAAGAATGGTATCATCTGTGGATTTAAATTCCCTGTCTATTGGGAGAATGCCTACTCCTAGGAGCAAGTGAGTTTGAAACGCATCTAAGACATATTAATGATGGTAACTGTGGGGCTATTATTCGAGGTACATTGTATGGCATTCCAAAACACCCCTAAACTTCCTTGCTGCTTTCTGTCAGACTAAATATGCCCTTTGTCACCAGATAGGGATGAGAAGAAATGAAAACTTTTGGTTCCTTTCACAAACCACCCTAAACCCACAGCCTTCTTCTGGTCAGAAATACCGCTGAGTCTTTGGAAGGAATCAAACTTTCCTTTCTTTTGGGTGTTCCAGGAAGAGATGCCCATAGTGATCGGCTTTGAGGGCAGCGCCAACAAGATTGGAATTGGGATTGTACGGGATGGAGAGGTGCTGAGCAATCCCCGACGAACATATGTAACCCC